CCCACCTGTTTATGCTCTCTGTATGTGTGTATATATATCTCCTCAATATATGTTCCATTCTATATGCATCCGAAGAAGTGGGCTGTAGTCCACGAAAGCTTATGCTCTAATAAATTTGTTAGTCTCTAAGGTGCCACAAGTCCTCCTGTTCTTCTTTTTGAACTATATGTTTGTACATATATGTGTCTCTGTGTGTATGTGTGAGTGTGGATGTTTCTATTTATAAACTGCAAAATCGTTACATTTCCTTCACAGGTTTTTCAGAAGAATACAGTCAAACACACTATCTGTGAACAAGATGGAAGAAGAAGCTGCAACAAAATATACATATATATATATATATACACACACATGGATGACATTTCCAAAACTGAACCCTTGGTCACTGCAAGGGAGAAGATATGGTCTTCCACAAGTGGGGAGAGAGTAGCATCAGACACTAAGTAAAAAAAGGAAACACACCAGAAAAGGGAGTAACCTTCAGAAACATGTCTCTGTATTAACATTGAATTGTTCCAACGATTTTAGAGTTTTCAAATGTTCTAGTATATCAGTCACATACTTTGCAGAAATATTATTGGCCTGGTAGCTTATGAAAATATGATGCCATTACACAACAGAAATGAAAGAATCCACATGACTGTGTCTAATATTATGAAATTGAGGTTTTCAGTTTCTATGTCTATGTATAAACAAATCTAAGAAAAACTGAGCTGTACCTGATATTTTGCTTTCATATAGTTCCCCATCATTATGCTGTCATAAGATTCTGCCTTCTCTGGGATACACAGACTCATCATCCAAAGCTCTCTGAGTGAAGCTATTTCGGTCATAAGTTTGTGATACAAGATTTTCAGCTGAGAAGAAAACAAGATGAAAAATAAACAAATGAGGGTGTAGCTGTTGTTCTGGACCCTTCTTAATGCCCAAAGGCCACTGAATTTCTAGCACAAAACAAATACATCTTTGAATGATTATATTCCATACAGGCATCTGATTTTTCTTTAAAAATACCAATACTAGATGAGTATCAGAGGGGTAGCCGTGTTAGTCTGAATCTGTAAAAAGCAACAGAGGGTCCTGTGGCACCTTTGAAACTAACAGAAGTATTGGGAGCATAAGCTTTCGTGGATAAGAACCTCACTTCTTCAGATGCAAGTAATGGAAATCTAGATGATTTCACCTTGATTGGAAATCCTTGCTGCCTATACAAAACTCTCTCCACGATAATTGTACAGTAAGGCAATAATTTTGCTACCTGGTTTGGGGAGATTGTAAGCTGTTTGGGGCAGGAACTGTCTTTTTGTTCTGTGTTTGTACAGTGTCTAGCACAATGGTGTGCTGGTGCATGAGTGGGACTCCTACGTGCTACTTCAGTACAAATAATAATAGTCAGGGCCTCACCATACTTTGGATAAAATACCTGAAAGTAATCTTCATGAAATAGTTGTCCTTAGACGGATGTTGCAGTATTAGAAAGGCTGAGTGGCTGACACTATGATGCCATTCCTGGCAGGACCACCTTCAGGAAATGATGTCACAGCAAAGGAGTTCTCGGGGCTGTCTTAGGCATGTAGGTAATTTGGGGCAAGAAGTGTTTTTCAGTGTGTACCCTCTTTATGTGCCTTTCTTCTCACAAGATCATTTTACTAAATATCATACTATTTAGTAAACATTTTAGTATCCCCCACTCTTTAGTGCAGCTAATGTGGCCTTAAAATCAAAATGAACCATGTTCATTAAAATATATCTACAGATACAGTAGCATGCAAACATTTGTCTTACACAATTCTCTCATGCTACACTATAACACAGACTGTAATACTAGCTCCCCCTGCTGTCCTTAATCCATACAGTTGCATGCTGTCATACGCTGCAGATCAGTGGCCTGAATCATCATCTCATTAACTCCACTGATTTCAGCTGTGTTATATTGGTATAAAACTGGAGTAACATAACACATATGGTTCATTTTGATGTTAAGGCCACATTAGCCGCACTAACTGCATTAGCTGTCTGTCCACACCAATGTATTGTTTTAATTCTCCTAAATTTTATCTATGGCTCTTAACCCTTGTTACAAAGAAAGATAAGACATCACTACTCCGCTTTTTCCAATGGAAATTGAGGCAGAGAAGTGAAGTGACTTGTCCAAGATCACATGTCACCTCAGTAGCACAACTGGGAATAGAACTGAGATTACCTGACTCCTAGGCAAATCTCCTAAACGCTGGCCTATGCTTTTTAAATACAGCTTGTATGAATGATGCATATACATATTAATGGCTTCATTTGGAATGAAGTACATGCCTTACATAGCAGTAATACTACAGATAATACTGCACATGGTTGCTAGGATCATCTGTACATACATGTGAGTATGATAAAAAACAAATAAACCAGTTACCTCTTCTTTAAATTGGCTCAGTTTGGCTGTGACTGACAGTGACTGCGTGAGCAGAATTTCAAAGAAGACATTAGTATTGAATGAATCCAGGTTTATCTGTTCTTCAGACTCCCAGATTTCACCTGTTTCTAGGA